TGACCAGGAAATACAAAGGAAAATCTTGAAAACTCATCAACAACTGTTAAAAAAAAATTGTTGCTAGATGAAGACAAAATAGGTCCTTTAAAATCCATGCATAGTCGCTCAAAAGGTTGAGTAGATTTTATTAAGGTGTGGTTAAAATTGCTTACATAGTATTTAGGATTTAATTCAGCACAAATTTGACATGAAGAAATGTTTTTTTTTACATCATCAATTGAAAAAAGCAGATTTTTTGATTTTATAAAATGATACATTCTGGTGATTCCAGGGTGGCAAAGAGATTCATGTAGTTCCTTAAAAGAGGGTCCGTTTATAGTTATAGAGCAACAAAATTGTGAGAGGGCATCATTTTTTTGTGTAGGAATGTATTTTTTATGATAAGTTTAAATGTTGGAAACTAATTTTCCATGTCTTTTTAAAAGTTTTTTAAATGATTATATTTTAAAAGATTTTTCTTAAGTTACTTGAAATTATATTTAATAATAAAATTTAATTTAAATTTAAATTATATTTTATAATAAAAATAAATATTTATACAATTTTAAAAAGTTCTATATAAAACTTTTTTATAATTTAGATAAGATTAGTTAATTTATTAAACAATGATTAGAAGTAATTTATTATGTAATGTAAAAATGTTTTGTGTATCTTTCAAAAAACGTTGTACAAGATTTATTTCAAATGCAATTAAAAACATAAAAAATAATTTTCGATTTGAATTTTAGTTTTTTTAAGTTTTATTTTAGTGCTTATTTTATTTATTTTTTTTCAAAGGAATTGTTTTCTCTTTTCTTTAGTTATTTTTATTTTTTTGTAATTTTCTTCTGTGATCAAGTTTAGGTTATTCTTTCTTTTTCAGCGCATTTCTGAAATATTTTAATCATCTAAACAGTCATGGTCAAGTTGTAAAAAAAAAACATTCGCATGGTCAGCAATAGTGTTCAATTGCACGCCATTCCTGTCCAAGCCATTTTTTCGCAAAGAATATATATTAAAATATTTGAAAAATTATTATTATTTTTTTTTTAAAAGTACCTACATATACCAATATTTCCTCCCAAATTTCCTTATGGTAGGCGCTGACACAGGCCTAATAATACCTAGCAATATGTACCGTCGCTCAAATTATTTTCTTAGAAAAGCCCCTGATATATATATATATATATTTTTAGTTACAAAGTGAACACTGTACCACTAAACCACTACTGGTTATAATATATATATATATATATATATATATATATATATATATATATATATATATATATATATATTCATATATTTATATATGTATATATATATATATATATATATATATATATATATATATACATATATATATATATATATATATATATATATATATATATATATATATATATATATATATATATATATATATATATATATATATATATATATATATATATATATATAACCAGTAGTGGTTTAGTGGTACAGTGTTCACTTTGTAACTAAAAAGTTCCTATAAGTTTAATCCCTTGGTAATACTGTGCTCAATCTATTGCTTCAGACAACTCCCTTTTTATCAAGGTTCATGTTTCAAAGTTAAAGAGTTAAGAGAGGTTTGTAACTACAATAAAAAGTTTGAAAAAATAGTAGCCTCCTCCTGCTGCTTTTAGTGGTCCTTTTAAACTTAGGAAGTTAAATTACATAAAAAATGTTTATCCAGCATGAGTTTTAGTTTTTTTTTTTATGATATCATAATTAATTTTAAATTTGTTTGAATTTTTAAAAACTATTCCTATGATTAATTTACTCAGATCAATTTTATATTTGGATTTTACCTGAATAATTTCAAGAATAACTTCTTTTTGATATTACAGCAACAAAGATGGTGTGAGTTGAGTTCTTTTTAATATTACAGCAACAAAGATGGCGTAAGTTGAGTTCTTTTTGATATTACAGCAACAAAGATGGCGTGAGTTGAGTTCTTTTTGATATTACAGCAACAAAGATGGCGTGAGTTGAGTTCTTTTTAATATTACAGCAACAAAGATGGCGTGAGTTGAGTTCTTTTTGATATTACAGCAACAAAGATGGCGTGAGTTGAGTTCTTTTTAATATTACAGCAACAAAGATGGCGTGAGTTGAGTTCTTTTTGATATTACAGCAACAAAGATGGTGTGTGTTGAGTTCTTTTTAATATTACAGCAACAAAGATGGTGTGTGTTGAGTTCTTTTTAATATTACAGCAACAAAGATGACAAGGTTTGAGTTCTTTTAAATTAAAGAAACAAGTTTTTAACAGAAATTTTATTTTTAAGCTACGTTTTTTTCAATGACAACTGACACATTAAAATTAAAATGTAAAAGGTCATTGCCCAATTTATTTATTTTTTTTGTTGTTGCAAGCAACCTATAGCTGAAAACATTTGTTTGAATTCTACTTATGTTGAATTAAATTTTAAGCTTCAAAATGTTTTACCTTTAAAAGCTTCAAATAAACTTATGTCTTTCTTCAAAATCTTAAATCTAATCTTATCTATGGGCTAAGCTTCAGGCTCTGTCTCTTAAATAAATGAAGTAAACTCTTCTGATTTGGATTTTTTCCTTCAATTTTTAATGTATAAACTGTTACAAGTGCAACCTAAACCTTAATTATGCTAATATTGTTAAACAATGTTATAATGATAACAAAAATAATAGATTTAACTTATTTAATTAATAAGTTTATTTGTTAAAATTTAAAGACCTAATAATTATTTTACATGCAGAAAACCACATTTTAAGTTTATTTACATTATATTAGTGTTTACATAACTGCTACGGACTAAGTTGGATACCTTACCAGATTTCATTAATGTTGACTTTTATTAAAAACTATCATTCAAGCTGTTCAAAGTCTTTCATTATCTATAGTTGATCAAAAATGTTTCACTTAAAAAAATATACAAAGTTTAAAGTTACCCAATATTACCTTTTTGTGTATTTTGTTTTTAATTTTGTGTATATATATATATATATATATATATATATATATATATATATTTATATATATATATATATATATATATATATATATATATATATATATATATATATATATATATATATGTATGTATGTATGTATGTATGTATGTATGTATGTATGTATGTATGTATGTATGTATGTATGTATGTATGTATGTATATACACTTTGTCAAAAAAGTTTTTATCCACCTATCTTACACATTTTAAAAATGCAATAAATTTTTATTTAGCAGATGTAAGCATGATAAAAACTAAATTATATCATTTAAACATTTAAGAAATATTTTACAAAAACATTTTTTTAAAGTAATGAGTAACAAATAAAATACAGCATTTTGGAATGAAAGATAGACATTTTTGTCCCAAAAAAGTTTTCAACCTCTTTACAAAAATAAAATAAAATTGTTATCCGAACGCAATTTGTTAGTGTTTTAATAACTTGTGTTTCCACCACGAGCTTTTATTACTTCGTGTAGTCTGTTTTTCATAAAACCAACTAATTTTTTGGTAATTTCAGGAATGATGAAGTCCCACTCTTTCATAATTACTAATCCTAGTTGTTGATTATTCCTTACATCGTGGATGCTAATTCTTCTACCTAATTCATCCCACAGATGTTTGATAGGATTCAAATCTTGAGATTACGGGGGTGTATGAAGTAGCTCAGCTATTTTAAATATAAGCCATTCCTTGACATGTTTAGCTGTATATTTTGGATCATTATCTTACTGAAAAATAAATAACCTAGTAAGTCCCAATTTTTAGGCACTTTCTACCAGATTATTTTTTAAATGTTTAAATACACATTTTGATCCATATTTCCATCAATGAAAACCAAGTTACCCACACCTGAAGCTCTCATACACCCCCACACTAAAACACTTTTTGTTTTTTAAATGCTTCACTTAGTTTTCTCCAAACTTTAACTCTTCCATATGATGAAAACACATTAAATTTTGACTCATCGCTGAAAAGGACCATTTCCCAGAATGTTTGTGGTTCATTAATATAAAGTTTCGCAAAGTCGTTTGGCTTTGTTGACTTTGCTAATGTAGGGCTTTTTCAATGGTACTCTACTATTGTATCCAGCTCTTCTTATGATTATTCTAACAGTTTCAAGGTCCACTTTCAAATTGTAATCATTTTGCAGCATTCCAGCAAGTTTCAGAGCACTTATTTTAGGATTTTGGATGACTCTCAAAATAGCTCATTGATGCAATAATTGAAATTTTTTTGGACGTCCTGTTCGTGGCTTACCAGCAATTTTTTTGATGGTTTGGTATTTCTTGATAATTTACTGCACAGTTGCACGTGATTTCTTTACTATTTCTCCTATTTTTTGCTGTGATTTTCCCTCCTTCCACAGTCTAACAATAACCGATCTCCTTTCCTCTGCAACTCTCATTTTTTGTTAATAATCTAACACAAATAAAAAATATGAAAAACTCATATAAAGAAAAAATAATACAAAAATTTATATTTTTAAAATGTTACTTTAATACTGATTTAATAACAAATTGAAGTTGAAGTGCAGGTTGGATGAAAACTTTTTTGTCGCTAAAACGGACATTGTTTATTTTAAAATGCTGTATTTTATTTTTTATTTATTATTTTGTAAAATCTTTTTATACAATACTTCTTGAATGGTTAACTGATATAATTTAGTTGAAATTGTACTTATATCTTTGCTGAATAAAAAGTTCACGTCTGAAAAATGTACAAAATAGGTGGATGAAAACTTTTTTGACAGAGTGTAAATTACATGACCAAGGCCTATTCCAGGCTTTCAAGATTAACACCAAGATTCTAAGCTTCAAGATTAACTTTAATTTAATTTCAAGACCAAGACAGTTAAATATGAGTCTTGAGACGACTAAAGTCTCAAGACCTTTTTTTTTTAGTATTTCTGTATATATGTGTATATATACCTACACATTCATACACAAAATTAATTTGTTTTAATGTGCATGTTTTTTATTGGATAAATATTTGTATTTAGATTCCAGTATTGTATTCATATTTTAGAAGTAGTTGCTCATGGAGAGTAAGAATCGGTTTGGATATTTTGAAAGTATTTCTTATATTTAAATCAGTTACTTCAGAATCCTCATAATTACTTTTTTGAAATACAATTTCAAAGTTTTGAAATTGGTATTTTAGTATAAATGGATTTTTTAGAGGTTTATCAAGGATTGGATTAAGGGAATGCAAATGCCAATGGTCTGAAAGAGCCCTTGTTATATATTATATGTATATATATATATATATATATATATACACTTACTAAAGTGTGTTTTGATAAGCATTTGCTCACTTTTTCTGCTTACCTTAAGCTATACCGTTTTTTTCGAAAAAGAAGAAGAAAAAATGAAGAATGATGAATAAAATGATTGCTTCCCCATCCCAAACCCTCAGTCGATGTAATACCACTCTACTGCGAGTCAGGCTATTTCAGTATGACGTCAGATTGCTTACCTTAGTAAGCAATACTATTTGTATATATATATATATATATATATATATATATATATATATATATATAGAGAGAGAGAGAGAGAGAGAGAGAGAGAGAGAGAGAGAGATTGTAATTGATGTTTCTACAGTTTGTCTTCAGTAACTTAGGATTTCTGAAGTAACTGATTTTCTGAAAAATTTTGAATTAAATTTTGATGTTAACTCCATCATTCTTTTAGCATTAGCACTAAAAGGTGTGGAATATGAATACAAAGCAATCAATTTGTTAAAGGGAGAACAGGTACTGTTAAACTTGAGTATAACTTTTAAGTTGCAAGGACAGAAATAGTTATTTAATTATTTAATATAAAAAGTAATTTAATTTATGTTTGTTTTATTTTTATCAAAATATATATTTATTTATAAAAAAAAAAATAAGAGATTTTGTCTTCATGACGATGTTATGTGAAATGGTTGGTTTTATTAACTTTTTAGAAAAGTGATGATTATCGAAGTATTAATTCTCAAGGGTTTGTTCCCCTTCTAGTAATTGACGGTCAAAAGTTATGTCAATCTCTTGCTATAATGGAGTACTTAGATGAAGTTTATCCCGAAATTCACCCTCTCTTACCTTGCAAAGATCCTGTTAAGCGCTCTGAAGTTAGAGCTATGGCATTATTGATTGCAGCTGATATACAACCTGTGCAAGTAAATTTATTTTAATTCATATTTTATAAATTTATTTTAACTCATGTTAACTATAATGAAACAGTTCAAACTTACAAATATAAAGTGAATATTAGGGGTGTACCAGATTGGAAATTTTGAATTCCGGCCAGAACTGGATTTGCTTGAGTTGTTAATAAAATTCCAGCCGGAACGAGAGTTATATATAGGGATTGTCCATGAAGCACTTAGTCTTGGATGAATAGAGGGGGTTGCAAATGGTGTATATGAGATAGGGGGCAAGTGGTCAATTACAAATGTAAGGAGACTAAATTAAAAAAAATATCATAACGTATAACATAATATAATAAATATCATAATGTTTAGGTAGTTAGGTTAAAAGTGTAGGTACTTTTACGAAGGTGAGGGGTACTCAAAAAAGCGTATAGCTAAATGCATGGGGATTTGGTAAGGGTTGAAATAAAAGTGTACGTATTTTATGGACAACCCCTAATGTAGTTTTTTACCTTCAAGATTGAAAGTGAAAGCCTGCACCTCAGCATAGTGGTTACATAATATATGTTTATAACCTATAATGTATATATATATATATATATATATATATATATATATATATATATATATATATATATATATATATATATATATATATATATATATATATATATATATATATATATATATATATAAATATATATATATATATATATATATATATATATATATATATATATATTTATATTTAAAATTATTTCTTTTTTTCTCTATTTTTTCATTTAGATTAAAGTTAAAATATTTTCTATATTAAGCATTCTATACTTTTTAATTGTTTAAAATTTAAGTAATATTTAATATAAGACTATACTATTCTCAGAGGCAGGTAACATTTTTAATGAAAAAAGAGCTTGTTTGTTGCCCAAAACTGGATAGCAACTCTTTTTGCACCTTAATATTCCTAATCTTCTAAAAATCATTTATCATAATTCATTACTGCAAATATAATTACATAGTGTTTGTTATCAATTTTTTATTTTTTACCTAGTTTTACCTATATTTCTTTATTAGCCTGTAGGACAAAGATTTTTTGATTCAATTTACACTGTCTGTATCAAATGTCTTAAAAATTAAGCGTAAAAAAAATCTGGCATTCAGGCCTTATAATTTTTCATTCCGGCAGGAACCGAATGACCTAAAGTTCATAAAATCTGGCTGGAACGGAATTCCCTGGTTTGTTCAAATGAATGATTTTTTTTAGTTAATTATATAGTTATTACAATTTGTTTCCTAATTTTTTGGAAAAATTGTTATGTAATATAAACTTATATAATGGCTTCTAAACACTTTAGATTATCAGTGACCTGTTATGTTTTTGGATGTTATATCAGACCTGCTCAGTTAAAATTTGTAATTTCAAGGGATAAAGACTAATACCAAGCTTTCAAGAAGTGTTTTGAGATGTTTGTTGGGATATCAATGCTAGGCAATGTTCCTCATGTTATCTGTGGCTGTTGTAAATTAATATTGGAAAGATAGTTAAGATGTACCAAATAAAAAATGCAAGTTGCATTGCCATAATTTACAAAACCAGGAAATCACTTGAATGACTGCTATTTTTGCATAGTGAATATTTGTAGTTATATTTACATATACCGATTCAAGTTCTATCAACTACATATCAAGTCAATATAGAAATATGATGATTATATGGAAGTGCAAGAAAATGAGAAAATTACCAAATACAGACAAGGCATACATTCTATGTACAATACTTTACAACTACCAAACTCTTCGCTTTTTGGTAATTTTGCTAATTGGTATCTCACTTCATCCTAGCCAATAGCCAAAGGTTTAACACTTGACCTCAAAAATCAAAATTTTTTCATACCAAACGCAGTGTAAACTTAAATGAAAACTGCAATAATGTTAAGATTTTGCAGCAAAAGATCCACTATGGTTTCTACAATTGAGATGTTGTGAAGAATTTAAAATTTTTGGTTTTCTTTTTGAATTGCAAAGGAATTCTTTAAGTATCCTTGTTTCTTGTTTTTATGGAACAGCAGAGAAACTTGAAATCTCCAAAGGAAACAGAATGAATAAAAAGATTTGCAGCCAAGGGTTTAAAAGGTGAATAATGTTGCTTAAGTAACTAATGCCATATTTCTCCTGTGAACAGTGGAAAATAATTTAAGGAGTTCTTTCCTTAACTATCAGATGCCAAATTTTGACCTGTTGTATTTACAAGACCCCAATATAAAGCAGGTGTTCCCATCAGAAAGTTTTTAAACAAAGTGATAGAAAATGAAAAAAGAGCCTGAAATGTATTCAGGTAAGTTATTTTTGATTTTTTGGGAAACAACAAGATTAAAAACTACAAAGACATGGTTGAAGAACTACTTGTTTTTTGGATGGGCTGCAGAATGCCTTCCAAATTGCACTATTTACATTATCAATTTAACTTCACTCATTCTAATCTAGTAGCTGTTAGTTAAAACATGGACAATAGTTAATATAAAATATTTTTATTTTATGTCTAAATACAGATGGTAAATATTTTGATTAATTGTATGTATTAGTACAGTTCACAACACCTTGTTTGTAACAAATTTGTTCCGCTTGGACAAAAAACGATGCTTTTGTTTTTTAACACTATTAACAGTCTCCACAACTTATAGCAATATAAAAACAAAAGTGATTTTCAGAATTAGCATGTAAACATTGATCTAGAAACATCAAAATAAAACATTCAAAAATGTTTGTTGTGTATTTTAACTTATTCTTTAGTCCGGCATTTTTATTTGTTTTTATAAGCATTTGATTATTAGTTAAAATATTTTAAACAACTACAAATACTTCTAACTACAAGTAATACTTCATAAAAGTGTTTTTTTAGAAAAAAAAATATTTTTTTGATATTAACTTTTATTAATATAGTTTAATTTTTGCCATTTTATTGTTTTGCAGAGGTTAAACTTATCTTCATAATAAATATTTTAATAAATTACAAAATATTAAAATAATAAATTCATATTTGTATAATGAAACAAAAAAAAAAAAAAAATTAAAATTTTCCATTTTCGTTTTTGATGTTTTCAATTGCTAAAAAATCGCATTATATAAATTGGTTGTGAAGTCAATTTTTCAAATTTTCCCCTTTGTTGATTTTCATATTTAGAAAAAAATAACATGATTAAGTCATTTTTTAATTTTCGTAGATAGCTGTATTTATTTGATGAGTGTTTTTTTAAACGGAGTTGTTTTTATTGTTTTAAGGAGAATGAAAACTAGTTCTATTCTTTGAAGAGAATGAAAACTAGTTCTATTCTATTATTATTATTTTTTTACTTATTGAATATCAATAGTTATGTAATCTTATATAAAGTTTAAAAAAAAGTAATTAGAAATGTGCCTTTTTTAATAAAGAGTTTTAATCAGGGCTGTGGAGTCGGAGTTGCGGAGTTGCAACATTTTTAGCGTAGTCGGAGTCGCTAAACAAAATCGCGACTCCGAATTCAATAGTAAAACTTCTCGGTATTGCGCGTGCATGTATAAAACATTCAATTAATCTTATATTTATACTAAACCTCAAAGAACTTTTTTTTAACTTATCGCATAATATTTTTTTAAAAATTCAAAGAATTTTTCAAATATTTTGCTTTGGAGTTGGAGTCGGAGTTGTACTCAAAAAATTTCAACAACTGGAGTTAGAGTTGTCACTTTTTTTTTACGACTCCACACCCCTGGTTTTAATGTTGAAAAGCTTAATTTTGTATAAGTTGGACTCAAAAAACTATTAGACACAATTCTTATACAATTGTGCCTGTTTAAAAGTAAAGGAGTTTGTTTTATTACTTAAAATGTTTTTCATCAAGTGGAGTACACCATTATATTTTTTACAATGTTCAGTTGCAATATTTATTTGCTTAATGCTTTTTCGTAAAATTCTTTTTTTTTTTTTGTTTTCCCATTATAAACAAAACCAGGTAGACTTGTACTGACCAGGTTTAAATTTAGGCTTGTTGTTGCAGAAGACTGTTAGATTAGATAGTGTTGTAATAGTAGTTTTGAAATTATTTTTATAATTGATAATTACTTGGCATGTCACATACATTGAGGCCAATAACAATGGCTGGATTATTTGTTGAAAGGCTGGAAATTAAAAAAAAAAAACAGACATTAATTTTATAATTTTAAAAATGATATTCATTATGCTTTTAGAACTTGTCTGTTTTGAACTTTGTGGGAGATGAAAAGAAAATGGATTTAGCTCATTGGGTAATTGAAAAAGGATTCAAAGGTTTGTACTAAGTATTATAACATTAATTTTGTTGAAAAAATTTAAATGGTAAAGCCATAGTATATCAAATTATACTTTAGTATATCGACCTTGTATATCAGCCATAGTATATCAAGTTATACTTTAGTATATCAACCTTGTCTTAGCACAAGGTGTGGCATTAATGTATGCGCTAAGCCATTTTACTTAAGCCATTTTTTATAGTTTTTAATATTTTAATATTTACAAGTATAAAGATAATGTTTAAGCTGTAAGGTAAAAGAAGTAATTAATACTATAAAAAGTTTGCATAAAAATTACGATTGATATTTGCGCTATTTACAAATGTATTAATTTGTAAATAGCGCAAATGTAAAAATTCATTTTTAATATTCTAACTTTCCCATCAAAAAAGTTCAGCAAAGGAAAAAAAAAAGATGTTATACGAGGCTTAAAAAATTAAATTATAAAAAAACATAATATAAAAAAAAACTTTTATTTATCATCTCGCAATAGCAAGAATATTTATTTTAAAAAAATTAGATTTTTGTTTTCTCAATTTTTTTCCTCCTTTTTATATTTTTTACAAAAAAATAAATTTTTTGTAAACATGTTATTACTTATAACACTGCATCAAAAATATTCATAAAGCGTACGTCTAACTTTTTTGCCTTTAGGCAAGTGAAAGCAAAACTGTGTATATATTTTAATAAATGATACTTGGAAACTTAAATATTTGTTTGTTACAAAAAAAAGTATTAGTAAAGTAATTTACTTGTAATAGTAATAACTTGAGTTTTTTTTCTTTGCAACAAGTAATAATTTTTGGTTGTTAAGGTGGGTGTTAATCAAAATTTTTGAAAAATATGATTATTTTTTTTTTAAATGTTTTTAAAAAGATATTTCCGTACTTTTCAAAAATTTATACTTTTATATATTTTATATACATTCTTATCAATAATTTTTCAATTTTTTTGACCCATGTCAATCCACTACTACTTCTCCTGTGAAAAAAGCAAAATCTGAAATTAAGATCAGTACAAACTGTCCTCTTCTCCAAGCTGAAAATCAGAACATTGTAACCAGACAAAAAGTTTATATTTTAGGATTTCTAAGTCCCTCTGACATAATGAAAGCACGCACCTTTAAAATTATTGATATTGATTTGCTTTAAGATTGTATTTATAATTCTACTATTTGCAGTAGTTGTAAATCACCAAAATCTAAACTTCAATTTTGGCATGATAATTTTCAAAGAGCTAGTTTGAAAGAACAACTTTTGTTGCAATGCAAATTTTGTTACCACCAAACATTTTTTCCCACAAGTTTAATAATTGTTTAAAATTAAATAGTTATGCTGAAATCAATGTGATGTTAGTAGGTAGAATTTAAATTAATAAATTAAAAATATGGGCAATATACTTTCATTCGATTCTAGGAAAAGGTGAAACTTTGTCACAACAACATCGTTTTTTGTCCAAGCGGAACAAATTTGTAGTGTTGTTACAAACAAGGTGTTGTGAACTGTACTAATACATACAATTAATCAAAATATTTACCATCTTTATTTAGACATGAATTGAAATATCTTTTTAGCAGGCTATCAGAATCAGAACTTCTCCAACGTTGTTTGAAAGGCAAGACACAAAATCAAAATAAAGCTTTGAATTCAGTTCTTTGGAGCATATGTCATATATTTTGTGAAAGAATAAAATTGATTGTTAGTGCTACCTTAGCTGTTTTTCAATGAAATTTTGGAGCAGCAGGATTAGTAGTATTCTTACATTGATGGTGGTAACCATGACTCCACATGGACTCCACAGCCCTGATTAAAACTCTTTATTAAAAAAGGCACATTTCTAATTATTTTTTTAAAAAATTCAAGTTGGCTAATACAAGTTCAGGTTTTAGAAAAAAAAATTTCTTCTCCTAAAAAAGTCTGTTTTAAAATCCAGAAATAGTTAACTTAGTTGTTATGACAAAATCGGAAAAGGAAGTTTGATACAAAGCTCTCATACTCTTCAGGTGGATTCAGCATTTATATAAAGCCAAATCATTATCAAAACAATAAAACTTAGAAATTATAAGGAAGTTTCAATTATGTTTGTAGATGATTCCAATCTGAATGAAAGTTATTGGATGGCAAATTTCTGAAAAAAACTGACCTGTTGGATAAAAAAATTATCGTTGTTGTTCAAATTTCAAATAATAGTTTAATACATTTTATGTGTAACTTTCATACACTCTAAATTAACTTTTTTTCAAAGTATAAAATCAATATTTAAAATTTGCGAGCTGAATTTCTTTGTTTTTATTTTTACCTTTAAGAAATGATATCTTGATTTATTTTTTTCAGAACATGTTGAAACTTTACCAAAATATTTTAAGGGCCAATTAAATTGATTTGAGAGAAGCATTTGAAATTTCCTTGACTCCTGGGTCCCGTAACCATGAAAAACAGTTTTTTTGAATGTTACCATGGCAACTGTTGTCATAAGAAAAATCTCTCATTCAAACATCCACCTTATTACTTTTTTAAAAGTAAAAAAATCATTTTTTGCAAAGTTGTAATTTTAAGAAATAAGGAAAAAATAAATTTAGATGTTTTAATTCATTTATACAAATGTCAAGAAAAGAAAAGAATTAATTTATGTTAAATAATAATGTGTGATATAATAAAATAATAAAAATGTTAAATTTTACAGCAAAAAAAAAGATTAAAACAAAATAGATATTCCACACTTTTAGATTTGTTTTTCTTAATTAGTAAAATAAACTTGTTTTGAGTTAATTTTTTTTATTGTAGTTGTTATAAAAGTTAATGTCCTTAAATTTAAAAAAAGTAAATAATAAAGATAATTTTATGACGTCAAAATCACGACAAGTTAATGAGCTAAGTTAATGAGCTAATATATATATATATATGTATATATATATATATATATATATATATATATATATATATATATATATATATATATATATATATATATATATATATATATATATTTATACATATACATATATACATATACATATATACATATACATATACATATACATATACATATACATATACATATATATATATATATATATATATATATATATTTATATATATATATATATACATTATACATATATATATACATATATATATATATACATATATATATATATACATATATACATATATATATACATATATATATACATATATATATATATATATATATATATATATATATATATATATATATATATATATATATATATATATATATATATATATATATTTATATATATATATTGATGTTTGTGGCATCTCATATCATTTGATAACCATTTTTTTATATTTGAATATAATTATATTTTTTTTTTTTAAATAAATGAGAAATTAAATGAATTTATAAGTTATTTTATTAAATTATATAATGTCATTATGCCTAAAGTATGACAAAATTTACAAATGTGCCCTTATATGGTAATGTACCCTTATATGGTAATGTTGAAAACTTAACTCTGCTTAGTAATGATTAGTTATTATAAGCTCATCAAATCCATTAGTTGTGATTGGTTAGCTTATCAAATCTAAAAGATTTATTAGTAAAATAATCATACAACATAATCTTAAAAGTTTCAGAATAAAAAAAGTATAAAATTATTTGCTTTTAGTGGTTTATTAAGTCTTATAATGGTAAAATATGGTTTATTATGTTAAATATGGTAAAATGGTTTATTAAATATAAATTTAATATATATTAAATAGGTAAAATATGGTAAATTAAATATAAATTATATATATATTAAATAGGTAAAATATGGTAAAATGGTTTATTAAGTCTTATAATGGTAAAATATAAAATATAAAAACAGAATAAAAACATATGCTTTAGTTTGTTAAAAAAATGTTTTTATATTGAATAAATTTATCTATAAATTAAACCAGCAGATAAAACAAGTTACTTTTTTACCTTATGGTATGCATATGTGGTAAAATGTATATTAAATGTTAATAGCATATTAATAAAATTATTATTTGTTTAATATTTCAGATTTAGAAAAGTTGTTAGAAAAGCATTCTGGGAAGTATTGTTATGGTGATGAGGTAAAATGCATTTATTGTTTTTAAATGTTGCTAGAGTTTAGATTAGATTATCAGATCTCAATACCTGGTCACTCAGTAACCGGTTCATATTTATATATATTTATATACCTGGTCACTCAGTAACTGGTTTATAGTTATATTTGACTATCCATTATCCAGATATTTTGTTTTGGTTATTTAGAAACTTATAATTAAAATATTATTATAAAACATACTTTGTAAAAAAAACTAAACTATTTTGTTTTTTTATTTAAGTAAAAACATCAAAAAGTTGAGTTTTGACTAGTGGTATTTATAATAAAGTTTTCTTTTATGTTAAATTAGTTAAAGTGTGTTGCTCGTATTACTTTGTCTGTACACTTTCAAATGTTTCTTTTACTGTAAAAGTATACTGTGATAGGAAGCTTTAGCTAGATAAAATAAATGGATTTCTTATAATAACATTTCTTTAACTAGTTTTGATATAAAAAACATGCAATAACTGGTGATGAAGGAAATACTAGTGTAGGAAAAAAGAAAGAAAAAATTAAAATGGATGCAAAAAAAACATGCAAAGTTATATAAAAATTAAAAAAGATTCTTTAGAATAGATTTTGTCAACAGTAGTTGCAATAGATGGCATGGCGATTACAGATCAAAAACCTTAATTTGCTTTGTTTAATTAAAGTTGTATAAAATGCTGAAAAGTTTAACAACCATAGCAAATTACATCAACACTTTTTTCAAAATCAAAATACAGAACTTGGTAGTAAATTTGAAGTTAAGCGGCCTAAATTTATTTTATTTGTTTATTGCGCCGCATTAACTCGTCCGTGAAAACATTAAGTAATTTTTATTGGCTTCAGTATATATAAACTATCTTATACCTTGCTGCTGCAAGGAAGTGCAGTTAAATTGATTAACTAAATGAACCCATTCTGCATATATATTGCTTGGTACTTTTCTTGTTTTGGTTTCTACATGTTGACTTGTTTACTACTTGATGACCGCTTTTTGTGTATTTTAAAATTTATCACGATAAATATTTAGTTGTGACTAAATTGGTCATTATAATATTCATTGTTAATTCTTTATTCAATCTCAAGTAAAAATATATGTTGTGCATATTACTTAAAAGAATTTAAAAAAAAGTGTTATTATGGAAATTTCTAAAGATCTGTAGCCGCTACTGCGTTATAATCAGGCCTATTACTACAGTCTTACTATAATTTTTTTCCTAATCATCACAAAAATTACCATGGTAACTGTTGCATTACCGCAATTTCTTTTTCAGCTTCTAGTGTGTATAATAGATATAATTTTTGTGTGTACAGTGTGAATAAAAATTATTGCTAAGGATTTACAAGATTCAATTAGTTGTTTTTAATATTATATTGTAATTTAACAATTTTTATTAACTTCCATCAGGGTTACCTTTTCCAGAGAATTAATGAAGAACGTGAGTAAGTTGTACCATTTAACAAAACGTTTAAACCTTTAAATAATTTTTTTTTTTTAGATAACCATGGTTGACTTGTGTTTGGTGCCTCAAGTTTATAATGCAACCAGGTTTATTTTATTTTTATCTATCATTTTAATGCTTTTTATAATAAGTTCTTTTATTTTTTATTATACATATACATATATATATATATATATATATATATATATATATATATATATATATATATATATATATATATATATATATATATATATATTTGTAATAAAGAACAAAATAATTGCTTTTTGATAAAATACATAAAAGTTTGTATTAAAAAAGTAAATTAGTTAAATTTTTGATTACAAATTAACTTTCATTGATTACAAATTAAATTTCAAAAAATTGCTCATTGATAAAAAAAATGAGATTTTCAAAAACTTTAAAGTATACAAGTATATATATATTTTTTTTTTTTTTAAAAAATCATTTTATAAGAATAAAAATAAAATTCTTTAGAAAAATCTTTAGTAGTTTCATAAAAATGGTCTATAAAATGAAATTAAAAATTATCAAAAAATAGTTTGAGAAAATGGTTGCCAAATTAAATTATAATTTCTCAAAATATATTTTATCTCTGTAAGTACAAGTTACAAAAAGAAACAAGTAATAAGTAGGTTTTATATTTATACATGAAACATAGAATATTAAAAAAGTTTAGCTCGTATATATTGAGAGCTTTTATTTCATATAAAAGCCGTTTGGAAAAATTAAAAAGGTCCCTAAAAATTATAAGGGGTGCTCGATGGTTATGTTGCCAATAGAGAGATTTAAGTTTAGATTTAGTAGTTACCCCAAGTAATGTTGGTAAAGTTAATATGGCAATGGGTTAAAAGTAGTATAGTTAAATGTATATTTGTTGAAAGCGCTTCTTTTTTGTTTAAAGTCTTTGAAATTTACCGCACAAGCTAGCAATATTATTTTTGTCGATATAGACATCTAAAAATCTTTACGCTAAGACTTTTAATAATCATATCATTAATAAAAAGAAAAAGCAAGTTACTAGGCAACCGGGGTGTATTACCATAAAGATGTAAATAATGGCTTTTTTTAGTTTAATTTAACTACTAGAATATCAGAATCAAAAACCACATAATAATAAAAGGGAAATTAACCTATAGCTAAAAAAGGATCGTCCATAAATAAGTTAACGCAAACTTTTGCAATAAACAAAGTAAAAAAGACAAAGGTTTATCCTCGCAGAGTCTTAATTTATATAAAAACTCTAAATAGCTTTCTAAGTTTAATGAAAATCGCCGCGTAAAAGAGCCTAATATATTCTACTTTAGTTTTTTAAATATATTTTGCGTTGCGTAATTAATATACGATCCCTAACTAAAACATGCAATATCGATTTCAATACTACTAATAGTACAAGTATTTGCTGGAATACTAACTTTGGTATAACATTCTTTGAATAATGGAAGTTTTATTTAATATCTTTTGGTTACCTTATCGTTTTCACTGCAGGTTGTTTGTTTAATTTTTCGATTCACTTTAAATTCTCTAATTATTTATACATGTTTAATGTTTCAAACATGACTAAACGTTATGATTGATTTAATAAACATTTGCAACATTGTTGGATGTGGTGATCAAAGCAACTAGTGATACTAGTACACTTTATACACAATTGTGCTCACCGAATAAATTTGTTATAATTAAGTGATGAAAGTGCAGGGTTCAAAACATCTGTTTCAGTTCAGGAAAGGTACTGCAAATGTCAATCCAATTACAACGTGTTTTGGATCATTTTCTGTAATTTTTTCTTGCGTGGTTGCTAAAGATTTTTAACCCTGCGAGTAAATATCTGTTGATGTGCAAAATTTACACCTCAACTGATCATAACAGCTTGTTTCTTTGTAAAGGCTTGGAAATTATTTCTAAATGCAAACTAAAACATTGTTATAAAAAAGTGCTATGAAGATGCACAAATGAAGAAAAAATGATTAATGAATTTTAATTGCAGAAACTGAGAGTTATTAAGTTCAGCTTAACATTGAATAATTTATTGAGTTATCGACAATATATGAATGTATATTGGCATAAAATGTCTACAGAATGATCTTTTCTGAATTTTCGATTCTAAGTTACTGTGCTGCCAATAATTACTGAAGGTAGTAATGACAAAGTTAAGTCCATTTGCCTAGGGTAAAGAAAAGAAAAAGGAAAAATTATCGCGGGAGCATGCGTAGCTTTGCTGCATGAGAATTAAAACTTTAACTACATATGCTCACGTGATTAATTTTAATTGATTAATTATGCTCACGTGATTAATTTTAATTGATTAATTATGCTCACGTGATTAGTTTTTGCTTTCCATTTCCATTCCCTTAGGTAAGTGGAAAGTTGCCTTGATAAAGTGTCCATCAAATAGATTACACCTGTTATACTAGTCACATTTTATCACACTTTACTTATGATGAAATCAACAAGTGTTGAATTAAGAATTGTTTGGGTGTTAGTTCAATAGATACTAAATTCTTTTTAGGCTCCTATATTCTTAATTTAACAATTTGACACAGGGTGAATGAAACAAAAAATATTTATTTTTTACATAAATAAAGGTAATTAATCAGTATTACCAATATTGAAAAAAAAGTAGTTGCGGTATTAAAAATGGTTTGCGTACCCTGGTCAAAACCATAACTGTTTAATTTTTACATATATGTTGCTTTTTACACAAAAATAAATGGCATACATGATGCTTTTTACGCAAGTAAAAGTTAAAAGAAATAAAGTGTGAAATAAAGTTTTTTAATTTTAATATAGAAGCATAAGACTTATTCCAAATGGCTTTTTGATCAGATAATAAAGTTTTTTTAAATATCTTGTCTCTTGTGTTTAGATTTAAAGTGGATATGAGTCAGTTTCCAATCATATCTAGGGTAAATGAAGAACTAAGTCAACATCCTGCTTTTAAAGTCGCCCATTGGACTAATCAGCCGGACTGCCCTCCTGAGCTTAAAGTTTAACTTTCTTACTTGAAAATTTATATCATTGTAATTTTTCTTAAACAAATTTTGTAACTTCAAATAATATTTTTATAGTTTTTATAGTCAAAGTCTTTAGTTTCTTTAGAAATTTCCTTGGGATATCTATATACTATCGCCTGTAGTGCATCCATACCGGTATTTCGGTACTGAAAAACCTTTCCCCCCCCCCCCCCCCCGCTACCCCCCCCCCCCCCCCGCCCCCCTCATCAATGATTTTTAGTCGGCAAACTGGACCCTTAGTCGGCAAATCGGACCTTTTTAGGAAAAAATGGTTTCGGAAGCGTGGAATTTCTTTTTTAAAATTGTAGTAAATGATAAGAAATATGGAGAATACAAAAAATGTTATAAAAGAATAGCTTGTCCAGGAAGCAGCAAAACCGCCCTAATTGGACACGTCAAAAGTTACGAGAAAATAGATTTGAAACCATTCAGTTGCAGACCAGTTTTGACTAAGATGTCGTTAAACTATTTTCTTGCCAAGTTGACAGCTCTTGATGGATGTTCGATTAGGTCCATAACTCAATCTGAAACACTAAGAATGCTTTTTGAAAATTATGGGCATAGTTTGCCCAAATCAACGTCCACAATTTCAGAAAAAATTAAGATGTTTCATGCTAAAGCCAAATATTTAATGACCGCTGAATTGGCTGCATTGAAAGCAAAAGGGGAAAATTTTGGACTAACAGGTGACGAATGGTATAGCAATAGAGGTAGAAGATACTACAATTTAAATGTTCATCACGACAGAAAGTATTGTTTAGGAATGGTGAGATTGCCATCTCCTAGTTCTGCTAAAACGTTAAACATTTTGATAATGGAAAAATTAAAAGAATTTGGTAGATAGTGAAGATATTTCACGTACAACTACGGATGGCTGTAATTGAATGGTGAAATTGGGTACCATATTTAAGTTTCCACATCAGATCTGCCAGAATCAATCAATTCATTTAAGTGTTTGTGATTTGATATACGCTAAAAAAGATTGTCGCAATATTGTGAACAAAGAAACTGAATCGGATATTGAAACAGAAACAGAAACTGAAGGAGAGTTTCTTATTGAATATTCGGAGAATAAGATTGAGTATGAAGAAAATATTTAAAAAAGTCTACAGAAACTTCGAATACTAATTAAGTTTTTGAAATATTCATCGTTTCGATATTAAGTTCTTAAAAGAAAAATACACGAAATTTACGGATCTTCAGATGACAAAGGAGTGTTGCTCGACAACCGAACTAGTATTTCTCAGATGATTAAATGATTTTTGGATTGCTTAGAAGCTGTAAAAAAATACACTAAAGAGCTAAACTGCTTAAGGTGGTTTACCAGGAAATAAATTTTTTTGTCAAATTGAATTTTTTTTTTCAGAATATTAAATAAAATAGTTTCAATAGAAATTTAGTTACTAGTTATGAAAAAAAAATTTGATTTTCTGAAATTTTTTATAAAAAACATCAAATTACATTATTGATCCCTTCATTGCAATTTTGTGTTTCTCCATGAACACACTTTTTCAATAATTGGTCATCACTTAAATCATTGAAATCACTTAATATAATATCATGAACCTATATAGGTAGATTAACTTTTGGTTTATAATTGTCATTTCCCTGGTTATCTTCTAATTTTTTCTACTTACACCAACTTTCAGGTCCTACAGGACATAAAACATGGCGTTGTGATTGACTGTTGAAATTGGTACAGTGAAAAAGTACTGTTCTAATGTTCTTTTTCATTTGGTATATCTTTTGTGTATCATTTAATTTGCAATTTTTAGCAGTTTGGCCATTCCAAAATAGTTTTGGATGATATTCACTGCCCTTTCTGTCAGTTTTTTCCAGTTAACTTTAGCCCTCCATGTTTCTCTTTACGACGATTACAGAGACGGATTCCAATTCTTTTCTGAATGTGTCCAATGCACTCTAACTAGGCACTTCAACATTTTTTTTTTAATGTAAAATGAAAGCAAAACAAACTCCATAAGTTAGAGCTAAACATGATCAGTTAAAAAATAACAAACTTATCGTTATATTATTATTAGTTGAAAACTTATTGAACTTTTAAACCACAAAATTAAAGATTTTTTTTGTATGGCTTTTGAGGTTTTTAGCGATTTAACGTTTTTAAGAATCGCATCAACGTTTCCGTTTATTTCCAAAAGTAACAATAAACAAGACCGTTACTATTCAAAACTAAGAATGTAATACCAATAAAAACTATAGTAAATGGACTTTTAATGAATAGGAAACAACCCACATTTGACATAATAAATCTGTGACAGTAACTTTTTAAAAAAACTTTATTTACTGGTAATGCAAAATAGGTTTTCCAAAATAATAAACTGGTTTTAAAAACAAAATTTCCGTCTTGAAAATTGACGAGTTGAGTCTTGAAAGTTGACAAGTGCTAGAAAAAAATTTTTTTTTAAAGTTTACTTTTTGGTGGAAGGCATATTTTTTGTGTGATCAACGCTTATCATTCAAAAACATGCACATTATAAGCTTAATATAATGCTATAGTTGATTTTTTTATTAAATTAAAAAAACACTAAATCCCTTCAAAAATATTTGGGTTGTAAAATGATCTTAGTTTTTGATTCAAATTATCTCTAAAAACGAAAATCTCAATAAAATATATTTGGTACTGTTGATAAGCTGTGGTTCTACTTTTTGGAATAAACAAATAAAAAGTTTTTGTATTTTAAGTCATCGGATGCACGATTGAAGAACATACACATCAAACTTTTTTGTCGGCATAAAACCTCAGATCTTTTTTCTTTAGCCGTGTTTTATCGATTATCGATATTACACCCTCAGATGCTAAAGTGCCTACTCTAACTTTTCTGGTTTGATATCATACTCAGCGTATGGATCACTTGCTACTACATAATTAAAAGAAGAGGAGTCCCCATCTCCAAGGTAGTACTTATATATGAGGTAGTACTTACAAGGTAGTACTTACATACAATTCCAATGAGCGTTGAAAGATATTAAGTGCACCAATCCTTTCCATTGTCTCTGACAAGTTTGTGTGGTTTAAAGAACTATTGTGATTTGTTTTCCAGTTTTCATAATTAGAATGTTGTTTTCTGTTCAACCAAATTTGGCAAAATCTTTAGCAAAACCAAATCTTTAGCAGCAGAATTATAAGCAGCTTGAATCAATTTATGATTATGTTGAAAAGCATTTACATTCATGCAACTCATATTTGTAATATAAGCGAAACGACTCATAGGTTCATCCCATTGACCAATCTCACGAAAAGCAATAATCATTCTTAAGTTAATATCAAATGCACTCCTGCCTTTACTTTGTGTGCTTTTGTCCGCAGTATTACTTGTAAAAGTGCACCATTCATATGAACATGATGTGCATTTCATTTTCAAACTGTGTGAAAATCCCATTCTCTTTGAATCATCATTTTGTTTGGTTACTCTATTTTGACAATCTGGGCAGCTACCAGCTTGCATTAATATTTCTTTGAGAATAGGAAAACACATAATTAAATTAAAATCATCTGAACACTGTTTTTCATTCAATTTAAATTTGCTAAGCTTTTTAGCACTACATGATTTTTTTAGTAAAGTTGTTGTTAATATTTCGGTTTTACTTGCTTTTTGGAACTTGTTCCCAGCGAATGTCCTCTTCACTTTTCTTAAATGATTTTTTTTATTTCCCATTACTTTTTATATTAGGTATATTTAAATAAAAAAAGAACTAAAATCCATAAACAACTTCATTAGTAAAGGTAAACATAAATATAAAGTTTTGTCATTTATTCATCTCTTATATAACACTGAAAGTAAATGTAGTTTGTTTATTTTTTTTAATCTACGGTATAGAACAGACTTAACCATCATACTAAAATTCAATTTTTTGAAAAGTATGCCAAGTATACAAAAATTAGTCGAAAACAAGAAAGAAAAGTGTGTTGATAGGGGCCGTTGCTATGGAATTATTTTAACCACCTCGTTTAAATCTTAAAATAAACCTTTTGTGTTTATTTTTCTGATAAACAGATTTCAGAAATGAATTCAGGGATAATTAATTATCTTAAAACAATCTAAACTGAAAATTTGAAAAATATAAACTTTATTTCCTGGTAAACCACCTTAAACATGTTGACATGGATTTCTTAAAATTGCTGTCTGACTTATTGGAAGTCATTCTGACGCTGCAGTTCGCTTGGAAAAACCAAGTACAACAATTTTGGAGTGTGATATTATTATGGAAACGTTAGTAACGAAATTGAAGGTTGTAGAAACTGACATCAGTTCTAATTTTGCAGACGCGTTAATCTCCTCTGAGGGACATTTAACTGAAAGTTCACGCCTTCTTCCTAACCGGTTAGAATCCTAGTTATTAGATAAAATTTGTTCGTTAAAAAATTGTGATAAAAAAAAAATTTAAGTACTAAGAAATATAAAAAGATAAATTTCTTAAAATTTTATTATGAGTTATAAATCGAAATACTTAAAAGTAAAAAAAATACAAGAACAATAATTAATTATCAAATAGATAGTTTAATTTTTTTATTTATAACAAAAAATTATCGAAACTCCGATTTTTTCTCGACTCCGACGGGGTTTTTTCTCGATTTCTCTCGACTTCGTTTTTTCTCGATTTTGGATCCTTTGGCTTTATCCCATTTATCTTGCAAAAAGTAAATGTCCGACATTTTGTTTTTCCAATGATGAATAAGCAACAGTTACATATTGTAAGCTTGTGTTTGCGATAACAAGAGCGGTTTTAACAACGGTGCTAACAGCATCACCAGGGCAGTTTACAGTCAAATACCTACATTACAGCTCTGTTAATTGAGCCTTAATGTTTTTAGCATGATCCAGTAAAATATTTTTAATGGAAATTGAACTAGAATGTAATTTTTTTCTTTTAGCTAAAGCAAATTTTCTTAATCTATTACTTTTAGCTACAGTATTAAATAAAAGTCCATCAATTGCAATGAGATCTGTTAGTATATTGTCAATAGTATCTTTTGCTTGTACAAAACTGCTGATATCTTTTTGGGATGAACTTTGAACTGTTTTTGTTGGATGAAATAATGACAATTTTATTTTATGCTTAATCTTTAGATGCTTTCGCATAACACTTGTGCAGCCTTTTTTAAGTGTTACAATGACGTCACAGATTTTGTATTGAGTAGTTTCATTTACTTTTCTCTTTAAGAAATGCTCCCAAACAGAAGCATTGCTTTTAAATTCTTGGAAAGTAATTTTAAAATTGTTTTTCTAAATTGATTTGAAACATTATTATGCTTCAAAGTGCGACTGTTTCAAACAACGTGTAGGCTATAATGGAATCCAACATCAACATCATAAAAAGTAATTTTCAATAATATATACTAGATGTATATATTATTGTATAGATATATATTTAATATAAACTAGATGTCTAACTTCGATCCGAAAAGTAAAGCCGCAATTTTGCCCCATTTACAAATGGCGAACTAAGTTCTTAAATGAAGTATATGTATTTTAAATTTAAATAATTTTTATGTTAAGCCGAAATTAGAATACTTGTAAAATAGTAATTTATGATTCCATAACTTATTTTCGATTTAAAAAGGATTAAAGGTTTGGATAGAAAAGTAAAACGACAGACGCTTTTGAAGGATTTTTATGAATTAAAATACTTTTTAATAAACATAAAAAATCTTTTATAACTATTTTATAATTATTAAAACTTGTTTTTGAAGGTGAGGTAAAAATTTTGATCTTTTTTGTTTTGTTTCTTTTTAGAGTAATTTATAGACGTAATTTATGCGTAATTTATAGACGATCCCAAGGGATCGTCCGATATAGGGCTTTATGCCTTTATATTTGCCGATGTAGGGCCCGTCCTTTGATACAGGGTGCTATGCCTAAAAATTTATTAGGATAGAGACGTAACAGATATTAATAGACCAGCAAACTACTAAAACTTTTATGTGTAACAAATAAAATACTTGGTGATATGTTAAGCATTTACGTTGTTTATAAAAAGTTTTCAAAAAAAATTGGATTTTTTTTGAAGAGAAATAAAATCATTTAATTTTTTGTAAATATCATGATTAAATAAATCATCAGACATTTTGAAAACTATTTTTTATTCATAACTGCAAATGGTTGCAGCTAGGGATGGCAAAAATCCCGAAAATTTTCAATCCCGTGATTTCGAGATCGATAAATTTGTCCCCGGGAAATCCCGGGATTGAATAGAAAAAAACGTAAACGCAATTGAATACTTTTTAAGCACTCATCAAATACTTAAAAATGATTAATTTAATGTAACTTTAATATAACTAAAAAATAACTAAAAAATTTAATACATTAATGAACCTCTAAAATTGAGTAGAATCATTTTTTTAACTTAATTTTGTATTAAAACTTATCTAAGACTTTTAAAATTAATAAACCTAAGTATTATAAATTATAATAAAATTTAAAAAATAATATAAATATGCATGACGTCTAAAAAGACTTTCGTAAATCACCCATTTTCATAAATCACACATTTGAAAATTACAATGAATGGATATAAAAAATAATTAAAATCGCGCTCATTTTTGGGAGCAGAAAATTCAAAATTAAATTAATGTATACCTTCTATTAAAAACTCTTGCTCTTTTTACTAGCAAGCGCTTAAATTTTATTTATTTTTATAATATTATAGTTTCAATATTATAATATAAATTATATATAGTATAATATCAAAACTAGTATATTATAAACAATAACAAAAATTTAAGCGTTTGCTGGTGGAAAGAGCAAAAGTTTTTAATAAAAGTTATACATTAATTTTATATATTATATGTTTATTATATTTTTAATTTTAATTATATGTATATATATATATATATATATATATATATATACATATATATATATATATATATATATATATATATATATATATATATATATATATATATATATATATATACATATATATATATATATATATACATATATATATATATACATATATATATACATATATATATATATATATATATATATATATATATATATATATATATATATATATATATATATATATATATATATATATATATATATATATATGCATATATATATATATATATATATAAACATATATATATATATATATATATATATATATATATATATATATATATATATATATATATATATATATATATATATATATTTTGCAGACAAGCAATAATGTTTTGAGTTATTTTGTTTAGTAAAATACAGAAAAAGAAAGTTTTAAAACAAAAACATTGCAAAGAGAATAAATAATTACACTACCAAATGACTATTATACCAAAGACGATATAAAAATTACTAAACTAAAATTATAAGCTTAAATTTTATTAACTTTTCCTTTTTTTTTGACGATCCCGAAATCCCGGGAAATTTCGGAGACTAATCCCGGGATTTTGGGATCCCTCGATCCCGGGATAGCCATCACTAGTTGCTGTATTTATAAATAAAAAAAGTTTTGTCTAAGTAAATTCTTAATAACCTGGTTGCTGAATTTTTCATCTACATATTATATTGAAATTTTATAAATCATATTGATATGAGTTTTAACATAAAAAAATAATCTTTGTATACAAAAAAATATCTAAAGTAAAAGGAACCAATGAAAATCTTGGATGAAAATCAACTTTTTATTTATGCATTAAATTCACCAAGTATCTTTCACTGAGCAGCTGCAAAGGTAAAAAATTATCATGTTTTTATGTCAATAATTTCAACGGGTTTTAATATTAACAAGCATAAGAGAGGTTGTCTCTCAAGAATAGGTAATGTTAATGTCAATTAAACTGTGGCAGAATATATTTGCCATTTTTAATTTTTCTTTTTCTCATATCAAAAATAAGAGCGAAAATAATAACGCAAGAAGCAACTGCAAAAAGAGATTGCAAATATGTATCTTTAAAGTATTCTAACCACCTCGGAAAGTAAACCGTTTCTGTCTGCAAAACTTTTTTAAACATATTTTCCGGAACTGTGTATTGTTCTTTTTCAAACGCTTTGAAACATGAAGTGTACTCTTTCAAAAATTCGTTGCGTGTTATAAGAAAGTTAATTGAAAACTCCCTTTGGTATCTTAAAACAACCGCCAAAGTATCATTTGAATTTATAATGGACGGATCCACCCACGCTGCAACATCTTCCTTAATGAGAGCAGCAAATATGTTTTTGTTCTTTAAGTTTTGAATTACATCTTCATAAGAGTTAGCTTTTATAACCGTTGCACTAAAATCATAGAGCGCTATCCTTTCCTCTGCTGAATCATTTAACACTGAAACATTTTTTTTACTTATGCTGATTCCAGATTCTCCAAATATTGAGTCAGTAATTAATGCTATCATAAGATTACAATTAAACACTCCATAAATTATGTAAAATATTGCTAAAGTTCGACCAATCAATTTTTTAGGAATAACATCTCCATAACCAACAGTCATAAGAGTAACAAAACTCCACCAAACTCCAGTTCCAGCTCCTTTGTAAAACGACTGATGAAATTCTGAATTATCTCGATGCTCAATTATCCATATTAAAATTCCAGTATACATGGACATAACAAGTAATATTATGACAACTGTTGAGTTTATTATAAGAGAATCTAAAATTTTATGCAACAGATAGATTTTTTTTTTATCTACTACAACAACCATATTTTTTCCTTTAAAAAATTCTACAGCTGTGTACATGCCTTGGTATTGCCTATTTAGCTCGCTTGTTGTTTGGCTAGAAATATAGGGCCCCCATATCATTAATTGATCTGAACCAACAGATGCGGTTAAGTTTAACTCAGAAAAACTTGCGCGAGTATCAGCTACTTTTGAAAAAGTTGCTGACATGTTGAATTGATACTGATTTTCGCAGAAGGAATCCAGTTTTTCCATCAATTTTACTAGCATACCGGTTGTTTTATTATTTTTTTCAAAAATATAAGGCGCTAATGGCCAATATTTAACTTGGACATTGTGGTGCGATAAAACCGTTGAAAACTTGATACATATAATCATAAAAATGAAACTTAACATCACTTATTTTGTTGAGTAACTTGACTTAAAAATTTTTTTTTCTAATAATGACTTAAGGTATGTTGTTTTAGTAGAAAAAGAAATGCGTAAGCGCAAAAATAGATACCGTCAAACTATTGCTAAGTTACTATTTAGATTTTTATTATTTATTTGATTTCATTATCTTTTTTAAATAAAACATTTTTTTTTTTAGCTTTATTTTAAGTGTTTAAATTTTCATTAAGTTGGTGAAATGAATGAGTTAAAAAAAAAAATTAAAACGTTTTTATTGCGTTATATATACAGACACATATATATTTGCGCAATTCTACGGCTGAAAACTCAACTCTTCTCTTTTTCGTCAACTTTTAGCAAATAAATATTGATGGAGATACATGAAAGTTTATTTAAAATAGAACAAATAATTTATTTAAGTCATTTTTATGCCTCCGAAAATTACGGTTTTTCTCATTGTCGCACGATAAAAAAAGATTGTAAAATGTATATATATATATATATATATATACAGGGCCTTCAAGAGGGGGAGGGGGGTCAAAGAGGGCAAATTGACTCGGGCGCCAAGTTTGAAAGGGCGCCGGACAATCTGTTTTTTTGCTTTTTTTTTAACAATAAGTAGAAAACATTTTAATGATTGACAATGTAAAATCTGCTAAGTTTTTGTATTTAAAATCAACACTTTTATAATTGGAATAAAAATGCACAAAAGTTTAATTTTAATTCTTTTATTATATTTAATTTATAAACTATTTTTGACGAACAAAATAGGGTTTATTTGTAGTTGAATTAGACAGAGCCGGGCGTATTTTGTTAGCCCATGAACAGTTAGCCATGCTAGCTCGTGCTTGATAAGTTAAGAGAAATTAAAACAAAAGAGACACTAGTTGACAATTTCACGATAAAAAGCGCAATTTTTTCAAGTAGTATTTAACTGTAAAAGCAAAAGAGAAAATCGAGCGTCGCATTTTTTAGGAAAATAATCCGCCTTGTCTCTACCAGGTTCCCAAGAAGTCTTTACGGTCTTATTTCAGAGCACGTGGAAGAGCATTTGAAAAAAGTTCCCGCGTCTTTCCTTACCGACGTTATAAAACTTGCACAGAGGTGCGATTTCTCTAGTTTCTGAGGCAAGCGAGCTAACCACGGCGCTACGACAGCTCAAGTTAATAGAGTTTTTGCATCAGGTTTAGAGTAGACGAAATGCCTACTTTGAACTTAATAGAACCAATTTTTTTTTGCTCAAATCGTTGGAGGAAATGCTGAAATTTTAATTCGAGGCGTTGGTAAAACTTGCTGTAGTGAGGCTTCTGGTTTGCGGTTAGGAAAATTGTTGATGTTGATTAAATAAGTATTTGGTTATTAACCCGTCAACAGTTCATGCCGTATTATTACGCAAACTTAAAGTGGTTTCTAAATGCCTATTATTACTACATAATTACATAATTAATTGCTCAAAGAAGGTGTGCAGTATGTTACAAACACAAAATTCGAAAAGATTTAAGAATGTGAATGTGTAGAATGTGATGAAGGGCTTTGTGCAGCTCCTTACTTTTTTAATTGAAAAGCGTTTTTCTAAAAAGCGTTAAGTCACATTTTTATTGTTTTGAGAAAAACACAAAAAACTAATTGTCCGGCGAAGATTTTACTAATATCTATAATGTATATATATATATATATATATATATATATATATATATATATATATATATATATATATATATATATATATATATATATATATATATATATATATATATATATATATATATGTATATATATATGTATATATATATGTATATTCCCTACGGTCTTATCATTTACTTGAACATCACAAACTTTTTTATATAACAATCGGATAAAAGAACATAAATTAGTTTTATTTTACTTACGGTTTTGGCGTCGAAGTGTTTGTAACAATGACTGATACTTGTATATTTGTTTTCTTTTGTTTAAAACTATTTTATTGCTTTACTTTTTATTTAAAATGTTTATATTGAAAATCTTTTTTATATGATTATATTTTGTTCAAAAACTTTTTTTATTTTCAACGAATTTGTTCTGTGATAAGACCGGTCTTATCATATATATATATATATATATATATATATATATATATATATATATATATATATATATATATATATATATATATATATTATATATATATATATATATATATATATATATATATATATATATATATATATATATATATATATATATATATATATATATATATATATATATATATATGATAAGACCGGTCTTATCACAGAACAAATTCGTTGAAAATAAAAAAAGTTTTTGAACAAAATATAATCATATAAAAAAGATTTTCAATATAAACATTTTAAATAAAAAGTAAAGCAATAAAATAGTTTTAAACAAAAGAAAACAAATATACAAGTATCAGTCATTGTTACAAACACTTCGACGCCAAAACCGTAAGTAAAATAAAACTAATTTATGTTCTTTTATCCGATTGTTATATAAAAAAGTTTGTGATGTTCAAGTAAAAATTTCAACCTGTATAAATGCGGATATATGGTATTAAAACCTTTGTTTACAAACTAATTGTAAAATACAAAACTTTTTAGGTGTTTCTAAAAAATGAATCAAAAGAAATCTTTTGGTGCTCAAAACCGAGCTAAAGCTACTAAAAAAGCAGCAGAAGAAGCAAAAAATAGACAGACTTTAGAGGATATGGGATTTAAAACCATCACTCAGACCAAAGAGAACGCTTCTTCTCCAAAAACTCAATTAAGCTCGTCAGTAAGTTAAATGTTTTTTGTATCATATTTTTTTCTCTGGTACTATATATTTTTTAAGGATCCCTTTTATAATGACCATGACTCCAGTCAGTCTATGAGTACCAGGAGGAACCAATGACCTCTCCTCCTTTTTTAAGATCACCTGCTGCATTCAAAATGTATGATTCGAAAAACTGTGAACATGTTAGGGCAAAAATTTCACCTGAAGATGAGTTAAATGAAAACAATTCACCTGAAGATGAGTTAAATGAACTTGAAAGTGACTCATCAGAGTCTGAAGAAGAAACTTCATTCTGACCCTTCTTTGTGGCTAGTTGTTTTATTTCAAAAAGATCAAGATGTAATCATTTTAAAGGACCTCCTTCAAATTCCTTGAAGCGACAAGATTATCCCCGTAATTCTAAGTAAAGAATTTTTCCTTTAAATGTATTTTATCAATCTTTGCCTAATAAGGAAATAGTCGAAAGAGACTTTTTATTTTGGAGCTCTACCTCCAAGGCTCTCCACTGTTTTCCTTGCTTTCTCTTGAGCACAAAAGCAGTATTCAAAAGCGGAGAATCGTCACTTCTTTGTTGGAACGGAAGAGCTAAGGATCAATGGAGGAAACTCATAGATTGTGTGAAGCAACATCAATCCAGCCCATTGCACCAAAAGTTGTATGTTGATTGGAAAGAGGCATACATTCTTCTTACCAGCTCCACTGGTATAGATTCAGAGCTTCAGAAGCGAATCAATTCTGAGACAGCTAATTCTTTATGGAATTTTGGATGTGACTCTTTTCTTGGCTTCTAGGAATTCAGCTTTTCTAGGTACCTTATTATAAGGCTATCTCAATATCAGTTTTAACTATTTATATATTTATTGTAATAATTTACTTATAATTATTATATACAATTATGTTTTCAGGCGAAACAACACACGTGAATGCGAAAGGAAATGGAAAGTTTCTTGCCAGTATGGAGCTTATTGGTCGTTACAACCCTGTTATTGCATCCCACTTGGAAGATGTGAGGCTCTATCAACAAGAGGGCTCCAGAATGAGTGCCCATAACCTCTCACCATCGTCTCAAAATGAGTTTATCAGAGAATGTGGTGATATCATCCGAAATGCAGCTGTCAAAGAAATCCAGGATGGTATCTACTTCACCATCATAGTCAATGGTACCCCCAATACATCTCACACTGAGCAGATTACCTTTATTATTCGTTTTCTTCTCGATGAAAGAGAAAATAATCACTGGCAAATTGAAGAAATAGTTTCGTGTGTTGAAGCTTTCGAGAAGAAGAAAGGACTCAATATAGCCAAGCTTATCACTAATGCAATTGCAAGGCTAGGTTTGGATAACAAAACTGTCGCGGTCAGGGATACAATAATCGATCCAATATGTAAGGTGCTTACAAGGGAGCTCAAGCCAAAAGAAAAAATTATTCAGAAGAAGAAGTTCGACGTTTTAAAAATGCCCGCAAAACAATTTTTAAGCAAGGAAACCCACTGCAGCTACTCACTCAAATCTTCGAAAAGAAGCTTTAACGCCTTTTTCCGTACATTTACATATTGCTCCGGATTTTCAACACTATACCTGTGTCAGTTGCTGCTGATGTGAACGATCCTTTAGTAAACTAAAGATTGTAAAAAACACTCTCCGTTCAACCATGGGCCAGGATCGCGTAACTGATCTTTTAATTATTTTGATTGAAGAAGATTTGGCTAAGAAGGTGAGCTACAGCGATGTCATCGATATTTGGGCGGCCAGAAAAGCTCAAAAAATTCATTTTTAGCGCTTTATTTATCTTTGCAGAAGATTCTTTCGATTGACTTTTTGTTTATTGTTTTTTAAATTTAGTATTTTAGTTCATATGTCAGTTTTGAATAATGAACCGAATAATGAATCTCAATCCGGAGAACTAATAGTAATACAGAATCACAATGTGCTGTATTAAAAATAGAAAATTCCTGCGTTCATAAAACTTTAAATTTTGTAACTTCTTGGTTTGAAATAGGGGCGCCGTTCTCCATTTTTGACCCGGGCGCCAATGGCGCTCTTGAAGGCCCTGTACATCAATGAAAAAATGTTATTATTTACTGAGACTCAACGTTTTTATTTTTATTACTTTCAAGATCAAGTTTTCTTTTCCTTGTCATGATAATCTTATATGCGTTTCATGTTTTTTCTTTTTTGACTGAGATTTTTTTTATTTCCTGAAGCTTATTTAACTCATTTCGAACAGGAGTGTCTGTGAGTATTCGAGTACGCTGACGTTTACGTCCTTTAATGGATTTCCTTGATCCA